GATGTATACCCCTTTTAAAGTTTTTTAGGTTGTGGATAGTCCCTCTAGCCGTTTTTTGCCCAAAAAAACATTGCTGAAGTTATGTCTAGTACTTCCGCCGTCCTAAAATAAGTGACTCAACTTTGTACTAGATTTAATACAAAGTTAGTATAAAGTTGAATCACTTATTTTGGGATGAAGGGAGAATGACACAACACCTGAAAGCAAATGCGTCAAAGAAGAATGAGGTTGACGCAATTAACAAGGAGATGTCTGACATGAAGAAGGAACTCGTGCAGGTGAATCGTTCGTACATGTGTCTACCATGGCAGGAAAAAACTATGTCTAGCTAAGCCTGTCTACTTGCTCTGGCCTCTCGCGTCGCCCCCCTCAGCGGGCAACACGGGGGAATACAACCTCCACCACCGTCGCCCTCCTCGTGCCCGTCCTCCCCTCCGCCGCCGCAGGTGGTCGGCGCCGGGCTAAGCCCGTGCGTGCGACCCGGTGGCGGAGGGCTTCCCCCCTCTTCCCAGATCCATGGGTGGTGCGGGCGTCCAGATCCGCAAAGGTGCGGCCCCCACTTGCCCATGGCGGCGGGGCGTCCCAGCGGCCGCGTCAGTGGTTGTGCCTGTGGAATCGGCTAGATGCACAGGGGGCGACGGTGGCCACGGCGGCGACCCCATGGCTGGGTGGCGACACGCCTGTTGGTACGACCGGATCCGCCGGATCTGGTGACTACCGGATGGCATGGGGGTGCGGCGGCCCCACTTGGCCTTCGATCTGGATGCGGTGCTGCCGACGGCTCTTCGCTGGCCTGCCGGAGCTCCAGGGGTTTCATCGTCTCCAACTCGATCTGCTCCGGTACGTGCTAGCTTCGGTCCTGGGAGACTGGTTGTCATCTCCAGGTGCTGGCTGGATCCTTCTGGTCTAGTCTGGATCCTTCTGGTCTAGTCTCCGATGGAGAAGGCAGCGGTCCGTGCACAAGAAGCTGGATGGAGTTCTTCGAACAGATCTAGGTGAAAACCTTCACTTGGCTACATGCCAAAGCCGGCGATGGCAGCGCACTGCGGCATCGTTCCCTTCTTGAAGGCATCGTCGTGGAGAAGTTGTAGACCACTATCCGCTACCTCCAGGGGAAACCTTAGATCGATAGATCAGAAGACGGTGGCGCGTTTGTGTCGTTTCCCCCTTGGGGCATCATTCTTGGAGGTGTACACGGGCTTGAGGGACCAGTGGACGACGTCTTTGGTGGAGCAGTGCTTCATCATACACACTGATGGTGTCGGATCTCGATGGCATGGCGTCCTAGAGATTAGGCGTATGATGTGTGATGATGGACTCGCGTAGGAGGGTGACACTGTCTGGCGTCATGGGGGCGTCTACAGCAGCTAGACCGGGCAAGGTTGATGCATCAGTACAACTCGGAAGATGGATTGGTGGCAGGTGGCAGCGACGACCTGTGAGTGTGCGCCGAACCGGTCTATGCCCCTTAACCGGATGGTGTCCGGGTTGGGGCCTCAGGTCTTAGATGTTAGGTTTGGATGCGATGTCTGTTTGGTATTAGGCCCATACTATCAGCATCCCTTCATCACCTGGATGGGAGTAGCGATAGATGTTGCCTAGACGGTGGCTTCAGTCTTACTGATGTATTACTTTGTAAGGTCTTCTGTGAATAATAAATAAAGTAGCTGCACGCATCATCCAGATGCGAGGCCAGGGGTCTTCCTCCTTTTCAAACAAAAAAAAAGTCGGTCTACTTGCTCGCGCTTTGTTTTTTTATGGGGGGGAGGGGGGAGGGTGGGAGGGGGACGCCACATGAGAGATCGCTAAATGGGGTAAAAAAACTCACAATACTCTCGCCAAATGGGTAATATGTATGAAAACCTATTAAATGAGATAATTTGTACAAAAGTATTAATGTAATAAGGGCTAAAACCCATAATTAACTCTTAATTATTATTTTTTGTGAGAATATTTTTGACCTATTCATCTGCAAACATAACAGTACAACGAACACAACAAATAATGAAAATTACATCCAGATATGTAGACTACCAAGCGATGAGTAAAAGCACTGAAGCGAGACGAAGGCACGCCGCTGTCATCGTCCCTCCATTGCCAGAGCCGGGCAAAATTTGTTGTAGTAGAAGTCGGAAAGTCGTTGTGTTATGGACCTATAGGACTAGCGCACCATTGCAGCAACCGTCTCCATCGAAAAGTAGTATAGATCGAAAGAATCCAACTTGAAGACACATGAAAGTAAACGAACTATGACCAGATCCGAGCAAAACCATCAAGGACCGATCCACCGGTGACACACTTAGACACGGCCACCTATGATGATAGACTCACCACTGAAACGGGGCCTAGGCAAGAAGAATCTTATTCCATCCTGAGAAAGCCGCCGCCGTCTCATCATTCTGAGCAGGACACAAACCCTAACAAAACTCGAGAAAACATCTAAAAACGGAGCCCTCCCGCCGGTAACGGCCGGGATCCACCATGACGCGATGGCCCTAAGGTCACTGGAGACGAGGCGGACCGGCGGCAGCAACTATGCGAGGCAAAGGAACCCGACTTT